TTGTCATTCAACTCGACAGTGAGAAGAATAAAAGTTAAATTGCGTTTTTAAATCACTTTTTACATAAATCATCCCTGCCTTTTGTATGCAACACAAGACGGCATCTTTTGTACCTCCTCAAGGAGTTGTACGCAGATTACATGTTATTCAGACTCCTCCGGATATCCTTCGCCTCTCTCCTTGATTGCAAATTGCTCCGTGGCGCACAAAAAGTCTGCACAATGAAATGGATTAAATGATAAATAATGACTCTTTAGAGGTGGATTTTTCGGTGTGCTTGAAAAAAATAAAATCATAAAAGTGGGATTTAAAGTTTATGTAATTTAATTTAAATCTCCTGGGCGGAAAAATTGTCACGCGTAAATCGCAATTCTCACCATTAAATGCTCGTGCGTTTGGTCAAAGATGCACACAGAGAAAGTGAGCACGACTTATATTTCATCCCCCTTTTTGACAAGGGAGCAAAACGTGTGACGATGGCAGGAAAAAAGTTTCATATCTCAAAGTTGAGAAACAATTTTAATAAGCTTGCATTTGAAATTAATACGAAGGATGAGGTTCAGATACGGCTAAAGGCTTCCGCCAACTTTCCTGCGCCACCACCCAAAACATCCCCCTCCCCCACCCCCTCTGTTTTGGGCAAGCAAGAGGAGAGAGAGAGAGAGAGGCTCAAAGTGTTCACGGAGCTTTTTCGCTTGAAGCACAAAGTAAATATTGTGCTGAAGAGAAAAGAGAATAAGTTGGAAGAAATTTTCCTCACGTTATTATTTGCACAGTTCTTTTGCATATTTTCCCTCCACGGCTTTTGTGCTTTCGCGATATGCTATTCAAGAGGGGGCGGAGGAGGATGAATGAAATAAGTTATTCTCTCCTCGAAAAATGCATACAAATCAGAGATTATGAGACTATCTGCAAAGATCCGAAACCGGAGTAGAAACTTTTCACCCAAAAACTCCAATTAAACCTTACTTTTGTGCTCATTGTTTGAATTCTCTGCAATTTGTCGGATTGAGGAGAGCTTTTAAGGTGCACCCGAACATTGTTTCAATCTCCGCTTTCGCATTGAACACACCCTGATGGGGTGAAGTTAGAGCCCGAAGCAAGAAATGCCTGACTTTGTACTGAGTTTTGGGACTTTATTCTGCTCAGTTTGGATATTGTTTTGCAGAAACTATTCAAAAATAGGCAATAATTTGAGCAAAACGTTCAATAAAAATTACAGAATTGATTAGGAAATTATTTTTGGCACACTTTTTGCATATCGACGGGTGCCTTGAAAACTATAAAAAGTTAAAATCGCCATTTTTCATGAAAGCGAGTTCAAAATTTTGCATTAAAACAGCTGCGAAATTTGCCAAATTTACTTCAAAAAATACTCAAAATGCCTTCAAATCGTTCGTTAAAGTGAAAATATTGCTCTGTATTTTTTATTTTGTAAATGTTTTATTGGTATTTATTGAAATTTTTCACTAAAATGTGGCAAAATTAATAGAAAATCTGAAAATATTACTTTTCAAAGTCGATTTTTAATGGTTTTTGAGTCGATTTTATACAAAAAATCAACTTTTCATACTTCAATTGAACCATTTTCTTAATGTTTTCAAGTGGAAAAATTTAAAAGATATGAGAAATATTCATTTAAAGTCCAGAAAAACATTTTAGGATAATTCTGAAAATCTACAAATATTTTCCAAAAAAGACGTTTTATGCATTTGACTGCAATTTTTGAGACATTTTTCTTTGGGAAAATTCTTCAGCGTAAACAATGAAAAATCGACTTTTCATTCGCAAAACATGACAATTTTTTTCCATTTGTGCTTTTTAGATAAATAAGATTTTTTTTCTATTGTCTCATAAGATAGAAATCTTAAAATTCTTGTACAGAAAGAACAAATAAAAGGCTTTTCAAAAATACATGAAGACGAAAACTATGATAAATCGACTTTTCATAGTTTTCCATTCACCCGTCGATATTCTTTATTATAATAAATCATCAAATTGAGCCTCAAATTTCTAAAAAGCCACAAAGAAGACTTCAATTCCTGAAAATGTCTTGAATCTAGATAAATTTCTCTAAGTGAAAATCCATGAGATTCTCAGGGACAATTCGAAGAACTTCTTCCTAAGTCCTTGTTGAAAAGGCAAAGGAAGGAATATTGCAAGTATTCAGAAGACTTCTTAACACTTTATCTCAACTTTCTACGCAATTTCTAAGCATTTATATCTCTTCCGTGGAAGCAAAAGAGCTTTTCCTTATCTCCTTTCTCTCCCTTGGAAAAACAGATATTCCTTTGGCTATTTCACCCTCAAGCTGAATTGAGAGGGTGCGACAGATTTCCTGTGGCGAAATAATTCAATTTCCCACCACAGGTTCGACAAAAGCACAATTTAGTGCAGTTTAGACGATACTTCAAGTCAAATCTAATTATTCACACACTCGAGAAGCTCCTGTTTATCGCACAAAAGTGCGGGTGTTGTTATTCTGTGCTGCGGAAGGAGGCGAAATTGTGATTCTCAACCGCCAGAGCCAAGGGGGAAAATCACTAGCCATTTTCTGAGGAATCTTAATCGTAAAACATGATTATTTTCCAGGAAAAATTGAGGAAAAAATTCAAAAGTTTGGTTTTTCTCTAAATATTTAATTAAAATTTAATTATATTTAAGTCTGTGATTATTTTTTACATAAATTACCGCCAGAGGGCAGCAAAGTTGGCCTGAAAAGCTTCTTTAATTGTATTTTTCGCATAATTTTCTCATGCAATCTCACTCTTTGTGACTTCCTGACGTGATCCTGGCCAGGAGAGAAGAAAATTTGAATACAAAAATGAAGATTTTCGCGTACAAAAAGCTCAATTTCATTATCAGCTAATCAGCTGATCAGGTTTTAAGTGTTTTAAAGCCATATTGAGAGTTTGGATTGTATTTCCCAAGGCAAATTGGACAAATTTATTGAATAAACAGCAAATATTATATTTTATTTGTTTTACAAATTTAATTATACGGTAGTTTTAGTATTTAACACTGTTTAAATCACCCAAATTAGCTCATTATTTCAATTTTGGCATAAGATTCTTTAAGGAAATTCAATTAGAACTTGAAATGCCTTCAAACTGCTGCCCTCTAGCGGCAATTTATGGCGAAAAAAAAATCTAAATTTCAATGAAACTCACGAAAAATCAAAAAACTGATTGAATGATCTGAAATCGCGAGTGATTTTCCCCTTAGAGAGCCGGAGCTTTAATATTGCAGAATGTCATAAGTTGCGGACGAGGTGAGACGCGATTTCGGAGGCTGTGCAGTGTCAAGAGTGAATTATTTATCACCCTACTCATTCACGAATGACTGTGTTTTGTGTTTTAATTAATTCTCTTCATCGTGGGCGCTTTGTGGTGCCCTTTTGAGGAGCATCGGAGCGCACATGGAAGGAAGCCGCTCGCTCTCTGGCAACTCTGCGGCTGCCTTCCGCCTTTTTCCAGGCGCGCCCAACACTTTTTCCCCGGCAATCTCGATGGGGAAGTTTGCCGAGGCAACAATGGGCCATATAGAATTGCACTTTATCCCCTTCGCCCCATTGTTTATTCATTGCGCCTCGGCAGCGGCTCACCTCCGACATCTCCGTAGGCAATTAACACCTCCTCCTCCTCCGCCTCCTCATATTATCTGCAAGACGACGATAAGGCAGTCGATTCACAGACAGAAATCTTATCACTCCCAAGTGAACAAGTCTCTGTCGCCATGCTTTTGAGCTATTTCTCCATTTCTTGTTTGCCAATTCCACACTCTTGAGTAAATAGATAAATTTTTAGTGTCCGTGAATGGAGCAAATTAGTTTGTAAATACAAATTTACACGGAGAGTAAACACGTTAAATATTTATTTTTGCATCGTTTCCGAACAGCGAAATGCTGCCATCGCGCATTTCTACATGATAAATGCCAAAGACAGTGGCGTAGTTGGAGACAAATTGTGGGAGAAATTCGTGTGAAATATGACAAATTAGGAATATGTGGGCGGAGCTTCTAAAGGGGCGCAGCTTAAGCGGGAATTTCAAGTGTCTCGTAAGCTTACTAAATATTTGCTCCAAAATTATACTATATAAATCAAGGGGGAGATAATATGCCTCAAATCTGTACACCACTTCCAAACACTTCCAAATTTCCCTAACAATTCTAAAAATATGAAATTGATGGTCTGTTTCCGCATTAATTCCCACATTTTAATGAGTGTCTTGAAGTTTCATTGGATATTTCTATAAAAATCGACTTAAAACCGCTGTTTTTGGACATCTCTCTTCATCATAACCTCAAAAACGTTGTTCGAAAGCTTTCCAGGCAACAAAAACATATCTTATGGTTTGCCAATGACCTGAAAATTGCTGATTTACAGTCCAAATTGCCCAGAAAGTTGTCTAAATGGACATTTTCCAAAGTTCACATGTCTATTTTTGAGGTTATGTTCCTATTTAACACTATTTACCATGTTTACTGCACGCAAATGCCTAATTCAGCCTATGATTGGCGATCTCTCGGATTTGAGCATAAGAATTGACGTGCTAGAATGCGAATTATTCACTAAATCTGTCCGTGATTCGTTACATAACCTAGAAAAAGGATTTTTATTATGAATTTTGCGTGAAAATCGAAGGAAATCTAAAGAATTGGGATAATTTGTCAGTAAAAGAATCACAACAAGAAAGGAAGATTGTAAGTTATGGAACACTTCCACTTCTGAAGTACTTCTGCTGAGCTGTACACCACTTCTGACTGTATTATCTCCCCCTTGATATAAATTGTGCAGAAAAGAGTGAAAAATCACTGTTTTTTTTCTCCATTTAATTGTATATTTCGCTCTAGTTTCAGATACACATTAATTCCTTGTAATAGTTATTAATTAAAAAAGAGGCCTAAATCTATTTTAAAAACATTCAATATACATTAATCTTGTAACAATTTGGCATTAGTCGATAGTAAAGAGTTTCAATCATTACTAAAAAAAATGTCGTTCGCGCGATATTTTTATTTATTATTAGACAAAAAAAAAACACTATATTTAAGTAGAGAAAACACATTTTCACAATCTCAGTGTGACAAAGTTGGCAAATTGGCAGGTAATTCTTTTTTAAACTTTCAATGTTAAGATGAATTATTTATGTTTCTTCAAAGAGTCAATGGATTTTGAGGTGTCTTTTGAACATTTTAATAAACATTTGGTCAACAATTCATGCTCTGAGCGCCACATTTGTGCGCCCGAAGCATGACATAAATGCTATGAAAAGTTATGAAATGTGTTGAAGCTCATGAGGATGACGTGAGTTTATTTTTAGTCCGACTGCAAGTTATTAACTGTCTTGTAGATCTCATTCAAAAGGTATGAAGAATTAATTTAATGTAGTTTGGTATATAGAAGAAAAAGGCACACCGACAAAAGTTTATTTATGAACTTGCGAATTAGTAAGTGCGGCACTTTGTGTTGATCTCGTTGGCCGGCGTCCTTCAGTACCTGTACCACGGCTGCCGCCGCACCCAGCGCAGCCGGTTGTTCGTCTGGTCGGAGCGGATCTTGATGCTGGCGCCCTCGGCCGCCCTCACGGTCTCCTTCACGCTCTGCATGAGGTTCTGCGCGTTGCCCACCAGCATCTCCGTGGCCTCGCGGTCCTCGTCCGATCCCTGCGCGCCCAGCATCGTCGCCTTCACCGTCGACAGGATCTTCAGCTGCGTCCCGATCGTGGGAATCCTCTCGCACACTTGCAGCAGATTCTGCACAAATCCCAGAACGATTAATCCCACTCCCAGACGGCAAATCAATTTCTTGAATTTCTTATAGAAAAAATTATGGAAGCGTCTTTGCAACTTTACTTTCATGACATTTAAGATACGCTGTCAAAGTTATGAATTCGTAAATTGTATGAAAGTTGACACTTGAAGACAATTCAATTATTTCCTCGCGTTTTATCAAGAAAAATCAGGAAATTCACATGAAAACCGATGTTTGCTAGATTGATTGGATTTGAGGTTATGTGTTTCCGGACATCCTTCGAGACTTTCCAAGGAAACTGATTGGTTTCCCCAACAAACAATCTTTCGTACTTTACACAAAAACAGTCAAATTGCAACCCAAATTCATAGCTTTTACGAACTGAAATACAAAATCTGTAAAGTTGCAACGACTCTTAAGCAATATTTCTCTCTGTTTTTGCAACTAATCGATTCATTTCGATAAAATAAGACTTGAAATTGATCAATTCCCCGCGTTAAAGCGTCCTTTGAACTCCTTCTACTCACCGTTCTGATGCGCTTGTCCGTGCACTCGCGCGCCAGCTGCTTGGCCAGTCTGGTGACGTCCTCGGACGCCTCGGCGATGAGCTTGGCCGTGGCGATCAGCTCCCGCTTGCTGCCCTTCGAGTCCTGCTGCACGAGTTCCGACAGTCTGGCCATGAGCACGGCCATCCTCTTAGCTGCCGCGATGATTTCGTTGTCCTTCGACGACCACTGGCGCACTTCCTGGTGCAATCCGTGAGCTGCGATCTGCGGATTAGAGAGGATCGCAGTGAAAATCACCGCCAGAAACTCACAATCACACCGGCTGCCGATGGAATAAAGCACTCTCTTTGGGTTTTCTCGAGGAAAACCCGCTCAAAAATCCACTTTGCTTCATTCCATTGGCGGCAAGTGTGAGTGAAGAGCGAACATCTGTGCTGGAATCGTGATCTCGCTTTGAGATCACACAGATTCCGATTGATTTCACCCTGAAAGAATGCCTAAGATAAACACGATCGCGCGTGTGTCGTCATGGAGTGGAAAATCAATAAGTGACTCACGAGAATCGGCTGATTGGCCTGAGGAACTGACTTGAAGACCTCGTCCTCGTCGTCGGTTTCCGGCGGCGGAGGGCGAGACGGCGGGATCTCGCGCGGCAGCGGCGGCCGCGGCGGGGCGCGGTCGTTGAGATGCAGCGCCGACATGTCCGGCGGCTGCGGAATCTCCGGCACGTGCGCCACGGCGCCGTGCACGTTGCGAACGGCGGCGAGGAGCTGCAAAAGAACAGAGATCGTGAGCCGATCTTCGGCGGTAATCAATCAAATCTCACTTGTTTGTTGGAGTCGCGCCAATTGGACGCCGCCTGGGGATCGCTGATGTTCGTGGCCACCGCCTTGGCGTCCTGCACCATCACCGGCACGCGGTTCTGGATCTCCGCCGCGCACGCGTTCAGCTTGCCGATGTACTCGGGATCCTCGGAGTTGTCCGCCTCCTGATTCACCACGGCCAGCACGCGGTTGGCCAGCCGGGCGATGCCCGTCGTGTTGTCCACCATCTTCTGCGGCTGGCGCTGCCGGATGGCCTCCTCGCACAGGAACGTGTGCTTCTGCATCTGCTCCTCGGACGCCTTGATGAAGTCCGCCGGGTCCGTGGCCTGGTCGCAGTGCGCGCGCATCCGGGCGATCGTGTCGGCGTACTGCTGCTTCAGGTTGTTCAGATGCTCCTCGGCGGCCTTGCTGCCCGGATAGTTCATCCGGATGCGGCCCGCGGAGATCAGCTGAGGCGTGAGAGAGTCGATCTGGGCGGCGGAGGCCAGCAGAATCTCCGCCAGCTTCTTGTTGCCGCCCGAACCGCCGGCGGCCACCATGCGGCTGGTCTTGGCGGCGCGATCGCTGAACGCCTGCAGATTGGCGGCCTTCTGGGCGAAGTTCTGATCCCTTCCGGGCGTGCCTTCGGGCACATTCACGGCGTCCATGAACTGCTTCAGCGGCGTTCCCACGTCCATGAAGTCCTCCACGACTCTGTTGACCACGGCTGTCTGGATCTGCTTCTTCAGCTCGTGCAGCTTCGCATTCAGTCGGCGCGCGATCTCCTGCGCCTCCGGCGTGTCACCCAAGCCGGCGGCGCAGAGCTTCGCGAACTGGTCAGACAACGCCTCGACTTCGTCGCACAGCGCCAGCATCTCGGCACGCTGATGGCCGGGAAGGCCCTCGGCGACTTGCTTCCCTTCGGCCACGATCAGGTCGATGGCGCGCTTGCCCAGGCCGCGATCGTCCACGGTGGGATTGTTCAGCCAGCGGCACGCCTGCTCCAGACGACCCTGGACAGTGTGCGCCGCCTGCTGCAGCCCGGCCTTGTCCACGCCGATCACGGCGTCCTGCACGGCGCGGTGCAGATCGCCGAGGCGGCCGCGGATCTCCCTGGCCAGGCTCTCAGCCTGCGGCGTGGTGCCCTTGCCGTCCTGGCGCAGCTCGCACAGCGCATTGGCCATCGCCGTGACGTCCGAGGCGATCTTCCGGATCGCCGACGCGTGCTGCGGCAGACAGCGATCGGCGATCTTCAGCGCGTTCTCCACGATCTGGCGCAGCGCCTTCTCGCCAACGCCGCCGCGGAGGGCGTAGGGATTGGCCAGCCAGTCGTTGGCCTGCTCCATCTTGTTGCGAATGGCATTGGAGAGCTTCTTCAGCACCGTGAGATTGTCCAGCTCGCTCTGGTCCTCGTCGTACGTGGTGAGCTGGAGCACACGGATGATCTCCTGAATCTCGTCGGACATCCTGGCCGCCAGGTAGTTGCGATTCTCCGCCGCCTCGCCGGCACCCTTGCCGTCCTGCTCCACGATGTGAATGTACACCTTCATGCTGCAGATGAGGATGGGCGCCAGGATCTTCACCTGCTCCATGCAGCGCACCAGGATCTCGCTGTGCACCTGATGCGTGAGCTCCTTCTCGCGCGCACTCACCTCCCGCGTCACCTTGCTGAGACACGGCGAGAGATCCTTGAGGAACTGCACGAGATCCTCCATCGTGTCGATCACCTCGGACACGGCCAGATAGTCCAGCACTCTCTTGCACTCCCGGATGATCTTGCGCACCTCGGACTCGTCGAAGCACAGCAGCAGCGCCGACGTGCCCTGCAGGATGCCCCTGGAGCCCTCGATCAGCTTCTTGCGCGCCGGGCCGGAGTAGGGATCGGCCCGGAGCATGGCGGACGCCTGCTCCAGCAGCTGCGACGCGTCCTCGACGCGCGCCAGCGACGTCGGCATATCCTGCTTGAGGATGTCGTCGTCGGAGTTGTTGATCGTCTCGCGGCCGACCTTCACCAGGTTCGTCACGGCGATCGAGACCGCCTGAACCGGGCGCGAGAGATCCGGCATGGCGTTGCCATCCTCCGCCTCCTCATGCAGAATCACCAATCTGGAGACCTGCGATTGAGAATCAGGATAAAGTACGCTTCCTTCCCTTCAGAAGTGTGTTAAGAAAGCCTTTGGAAAGTGTTTAGCATGAAGATTTTCGCTGAGAAATTGATTTTTCTTTCTTTTTTGGTTTATATTTGTTTGTTTGAATTTGCAACAGCCACACTAATAGGCCGATTAATCGCCGAATTTCATTTGGATCAAAGTTTGGATCCTTTGGATCATAAATAAGTTCAAAATTGTCGCAAGAATATTTAGGGATTTAAAAAATTTCGATAAATTTACTGTCAAAATGAATATTTACTGTCATTTTCCTGTCATTTTCTGAAATTAGCTGAATAAAATTCTGCTTTTAGAACTTTTTACTAATGAAATGGGATAAAACACCATAAATTAAGGCTTTGCGATTAAATTTTCTTATTCTCCTATTCACAATTTCGACAATTTTTTTATTTAAATTCTCAACAGCCACACTAGTCGGCCGATTAATCGCTAAATTCATTAACTACTGGGATTAATTCGTATGTGAATAAATTATTAATACTCTTCAGCGGTTTCTGCGTCTTCTGCATCACAAGAAAGCCTCTTTGAAGTTCGAGATTCATATTTCAAGCGCTAAATAAATATTTTATATGCAGAGAAATCGTCAAATTGGTCAAATTTACAGACAGTTATGCATTCTAGCTCAAATCTCTAACGGAATCCCCTATTAATCTCTGCGATCTCTGCCTATTTAGCCGCGGAATGTGCGCGCGATCGCCGGAATGAGAGGAATTCCGGGGAGATTCACGCTGGAATCCAGATAATCTCGCGCGGCGGGAAGGAAGTGCATTTGATCTTCCCGGCTGCCGTGCGAGAGTGGGTCGATCGCGCGGCGGGAAAATTGGCGGTGTTTTCGCGGGTGAAGCATTTCCACACGGCGGCATTACATCACACATGTGTGGTGGCTTTTGGACGGGTGCGTGTGTGTGGGTGGCGAAACCACTGATGAAACTATATTTTTAGAACGCTGACTGAGTGGAAATGGACGGAGAGAGCGAGAGAGGATCGCCAGGCGACGGACTTACCTGTTGGGCCACAGGCTCCAAGATGCTCTCGATGGTCTTGGTGTGGAACACTGGCATCTTCCAGGCTGTGCAAAGAGTCCTCTGTCCTGTCGAGCTGTGTCGTCGTCCCCTGGCGTCGGGGGCTCAATTAATTGGCACTGTGTTTTGTACTTTTTGGAACAAGTCAAAGAGAAATGTCTATAAATAGACAGGGAGTTCACTTGTAGGCACTTTTGCTGCGTGACTAATGCGCCTGTTCGATGTTGGAGGGAAAGAAAAAAGATATTTCGATGAGCGTCAAATTGCCCGCACTTATTGCTATTTGCCACTATTGCACACACAGAACTATTTTGATTGATTGAATGAAATATTTGTGGCCAATTAATTGTCAACTTTGGTGGATTCGTCTCGACGAGATTTCTGCCACTGATCGTGTTCGCTTCTTCTCTTACTTTTCCCGCATCGGTCGCGGTGCGACAGAGACAACAACATGCAGCACTCGTGGCCATGTTGTGTCGATCGCCTTGCGTTCGCGGGCCACAAAACTCTGTCAACATCGCCCACCGGGTGGCCCAAAAGGCCACGCACAGCCGCTCAACTGCAGACGCGCATCAATCACTGACCAACTCAAAACACCCAAACATGGCATTACACTCGCTCCACTCCCATCGATTTGGCCCAATTGTGCATCATCTGTCTATATGCAAATGACTCTCTCGGGCAGCCGGGATTCACTGGATCGTGAGCCCAATCCCGGCCGGGACGTGACCGGGAAGCCCAAAGAGGCAATATGCTGATAGTGTGTGGCCCTGATTTGTGGGGTGAGCCTCGGGAGATCCACTGGAATTACCCCATTGTCTGCTACGAGATGAGATTTCGCCCTTCCCACAGCAAACACTGAATCATTTTCCATTCACACGAACCTCTGCAGAACCGCATTGTCCCAAGAAGTCCCGGCAGGAGTTGTGCAATTCCTCGTAATTTGCCAGAAGCGCACTCAGAGAAAGTCTCAGCTAATTATGGAGATTTTCAATACCTGAAAGGCTTGAGAGTCTTGCGAAGAGAGAATGCAGAAAGGGCGGGGCATTGAAAGGGGCGTGGTTTGACTATAAACACAGCTGAATTCTTGTAGAGAGATGTAAATAAATAGGAAGCAAGTTTGATTATTTGCCGCCCTTTCGAAGGCTCCGCCCACTTATAAACTCCATCTCAGTGTTCAACACATATTTTTACATATTATGAGCTAAAATTACTCATTCAGTTGTGGACAGAAATAAACATCCAGTAAAGCAAAAAACAGCGATTATTTTCGGATTGTAAACAGAGAAAATCGAGCAGATGTTGAGCGGTTTTTTCTGAGTGTCTTCATCGCTTCCCTCTGAAGGAAAACACACAATAGAGAAAGCGTTATCGCTGCATGAGGGTCATGAGATCACGGCAAAAGTTGAATAAGGACGGTCGCTCTTCCTCCCAGCCTTCTGGCCATTTTTCAGCCCCTTCCAGAGATGCGAATTCCCACGGAATCGCCCCACTTTCCCCTTCTTCCACCCCACAGAAGGAGAGAGAGAGAGAGAGAGGGAGAGGGAGAGGGTGTGAATGGCAACAAATTCACTTGACATGGCGCGCAATCGTCATCGTTATCATCTTCGTGTGCGGGGGTGAAATTTGCTATTGTGGCTATTTCACGATAAATTTAACACACACACAAACTCCAGAAGCATATTTCGTCCTTGATTACTCTCCCACATCGACCAAGAAATGCAACAAAACATATTCAATGATGTGACTTTAAACTGTTGACGCGCTTCGACGGTTGAATCGAAAAGTGCGGAAAGTCAAAATCGTCAATTTTTCAAGAGAGCAAATTGAGAATTTAGCAATAATATCGCTGGAAAGCCTCAAAATATCTTTTAAAAGATATTTTCTGAATTTTTTAAAGAAATTTTATTGGAATTTATTGAAAATTTTGACAGAAATATGGCAAAGTTGATAGAAAAACTTAAAATATTGCTTTCCAAAGTCAATTTTTAATAGTCTTTGAGTACATTTTATCCAGAAAAGTTCTGAAAATCAACTTTTTATACTTAACATGATCTTTTTTTTACCTAATTAAGTGAAAAAATTCAAAAAATATGAGAAATATTCAGTCAAAATTTAAAAAAATTTTTCCAAGAAGCTTTTTATACGTTTAACTACAATTTGAGACAATTTTCTTAGAAAAAATATACATAGCAGAATATAAAAAATTTCCATATGTATTTTTTGAATAAATAAGATTTTTTTTTACTATTTTCTCATAAGATCAAAAGCTTTTCAAAAATGCATAAAACGTTAACTGTGAAGAATTGACTTTTCACAGTTTTCGATTCAACCGTCGGCTTGTGAGTGAAAATTAGATTTTCGTCCATCATTTTTTCTCACGTGTTTCGCACGACGTGCGGATAATAAATTTATTTCTGTCCACACTTCCAGCCGAGTGAGTGAGAGAGAGAGAGAAAACATCCCACGAGCGAATTTGGTGCTTTCCGCTCATAAAAATGAATTACTTTTTAAAATTTGCTAAGCGTTGACAGATTCAGCGACTCGAAGACATAATTGGAAGCTTCAGAGCTTGACCTCAATCCCATGCCATCATAGAGTTTTTCCCTCTGTTTGCTCACGGAGCTTTCATGTGAAATTTATGAACATGACGAGAGAGTGTCTCATGACAAATTGCCGCCGCGCTCATGCTTCGACATGTAATTCTCATGTTCACGTGCAGTAAATTAAATTATGTGGAGTGACACGGAGGAATTCAATGTCCCGAACGCCTAATGAGTCCAAAAACTCCTCATTTATCCAGACTCCGCAGCGTCCTTTTTCCCCCATCCCCAAATACTCAATCCAATTCCTGCTCTTGCAGAGAGAGTGGAAAAAAGTGGGACTTGATTTTTCCACCCCCCCCAAAAGGGGACAAAAACACGAGCCGCCAATCTGGGGAAGAGTGAAGAAAAAGCTGGTTGAAATCGTTAATATTTGATTATGATGCGAGAGCTTCCCTTCTTCTTCTTCTCGACCCGCCAGGATAAATGGCTGGATCTCCTCCCGAGGACGCGCGTGTTTTTGCCAATGCAGAAGCCCCCAGGAAATATACAAATGCGAACCATTAAGCTGGGCAAAAAGTGTCCGGCACAGTGTCACATAAACCACAGGGAAAATCCTGCGGTGCTGAACACGCCTGATGGAAATTATGTGCCATGGCAAATGCTACCCTCCATGTTAAACCACTCGCAGGGCAAATTTCATCAATGGCCCACCCTCTGCGCCACAATTTCATCAAGGTAAACTGCCAGATTTATTGCTTCAGCAGCAAAAAATCTCCACTGCATCCAGAACTGCATCCAATCTTGGCCAGTCGCGAGACTCCATAAATACGAGAGTGACTCCAAATGAGATTGTATAAAGTTTATTAAGTGATTTCTTATCCCCGAACATCTCTCTCGTGTATGATTTACAATCTACCTGCGAGAATTATGCACGAATTTCCACATCATGTGGAAACTCCAGCGAAAATCATACTAAAGATATTTAAGCTCAGCTTGACTTAAAAGTGGAGATTTTACAATTTAGGTTTGTTTTTTTGTAAATTTATTCTGTATAAAAAGCAAATTTTCAGACTCTTTTCCTGGCCAATAATATTTTTTCTACAAATGCTGAAATTTTTTATTGATCAAGAAGAATAAAAAAAATACGACAAATATAGGAAAATTTCATATATATTTCCTAAATATTAGCTTCTATCGTTAATGACTGTTGAATGCATGTTTATTGATATGAATTTGTGTGAATAAAACCAAATTTTCCTTGAAAAACGACGAAAATAATAAAATTTTACATAAATTTCAAAAATTTCAACTCTCTTTGTTAGAGACTGTTTAACACAGATCAATAAAAATTTATTTCTGCAAAGAAAAGGCGGAAAAGGCAATTTTTCACACACAAAAAAGGAGAAATCGCAAAATTTCACGCAATTTTTCAAAATTTCAATGTCCTTTTTAAAAGACTGTTAAATATTGTTCAAAAGAAAAGAATTTATGCAAAGAAAAGACAATTTTTCATACAAAAAGTAGGAGAAACAGTAAAATTTCACATGATTTTCCAAAATTTTAACGTCCTTTTGAACGTAGTTCAATAGAAATGAATTTATGCCATTAAAAAGCAAATTTTCACGAATATTCGTCAAACAATACTGTTTCAGTTGAGCACTAAGATGTTTAAAATGAAGAAACATTTCTTGTGGGCGGAGCATTTAAGTGGGCGTAACTTGAATGACATTCAACACACCGGAAAATCATCAAAATCCTTCCACAATTCCTATCGCAATCATCCCTTCGTGGCTTGTCCGCAGTGGACAAGTGTGCACAAAAGACTTTAGAGGAAATGTTAAATTGTGTCGCATCGCCAGTGATTTATATCAATGGAGTTATGATGGCTAAAAGGCTGAAATTCAATATGTGAAGCGCCTTTCAATTTAATCGATGAGCAGCGCTCTCTGTCTAGGCGGCGAGAAGGAGAGAGGGAAGGAGGGGAAGGGGATGTTTGAGGACAAAGACCCCTCGAGTGAAATATTCTCTCTGTCCAGGATAAAAGGAGATATACAGTGATTTGTGGCAGAGACGAGCACACACGAGAAATATGCCTGAGGAATTCGCAAAATATTGCCGAGTCAAAGGGAATTTTATGTGTTTCGTCCGACACGATAAACAAATAATAAATAAGAAAACTTTTTTCCACTCTGTTGATATTTAAATTGCCGATGAAATTCAATCAAATCCTCTGTCGCTTCAGCACGGATTTCGGAGCTTTCGGAGTCTGTTTTAAGGGGGTAGAAGTGAGTGCCCTGCGGGGGGTGAAGGGGGCGCGCTTTCTGAAGGAGCATCTGGTGACAGAAGCACCGCGGAAACTTTATTAAATTGCACCCCGTTCGTGGGTGAATTTTTCTGATTGGCAAAGTTTACTTCTGTCTGGGAAGACAACAAGCGAAGAGAGTAAACAGTAAAAAAGGATATAGAAACACCCCATCAATTGTGTCTTCCTTTGGCGCATTTCCACCCACTTTTCAGCACACTGATCGCGCTCTCTCCTCTTCACTGTTCTATGTTAATTTTATTGATGGAAAGTACAAATTGTTTATGAAACATTCACGGGCAATGATGGGAAGACAGAGAGTGAGTCAATAAATACTGTTTGAGCGGCAAAAGGGCGGTAAAAACTCACCCCTCCACCCGGAGAAATTAGTGGTAATTTCAATAAATATTCAGTGATGCCTCGCAGGAAGTCTCATCTCTAATCTCTCTCTCCTTTCTGCCCACGCACGATCCTTAAACACCCCCTCAGAAGCGGAGGCCGTGAAAGTGGTATCAAAAGAGGTTCTCACGAGGGTAGAGATGAAA